AAACTCTCAAGCCTCAAGTAATATATATATATATATATATATATATATATATATATATATATATATATATATGCAAACGAGAGGCCTCATTTCTGGGAAGGTGGATTAAAACCTCTAAGACAGCTGGGTCTACACATGGCTGGCCTTTGCCTTTAATCTTAGCACTCAGGAAATACAGGCAGGCAGATCTCTGTGAAATTGAGGGCCAGCCTGTTCTACATTGTGATTTCAGGGCCAACCAGGGCTACATAGTAAGAACTTGTCTTAAAAACAAACAAAACCCCCACAGAACCCCATAGCTACAAATAAGGGGTCCTTTTCAAGGAGACCCAGACAGCCTTAACTCAGTAGCCTGGCTCCCCCGACTACTGACTGTGTATCCGAGGGTATTTAGGGATTCTGCTTTGGAGCTTTCTGTTCTTGGTGGTGGCGGCTTCTTCTGTTTTACCTCTAGGCATATGGTTTCCTGAAATTCTCCACTTCCAGTTGGTTTTTCCCAAGAAACTAGCTCATGCTTTCCCATTGTTGCCCTGTACTTGCCTCTGGCCAGTGACCAGTAACGTATCAACATTGCCTTCTCTCTTTGCCAACAAGAAAAGAGAGTGTGCACACGGACTTGCTTTGAACTAGTTCCGCTTTGGGCTTAGTCTTGGCTTCGGGGTATTAACTATGATCGAGAGAATGGCCCCTGCCCTTTTGCAATGGTTCAGAAAGCCTGGAAATTTATTATCGTCTTGTGTGTTTTAGAGGTAGTGATCTTACAACCACCTTTAAAATATGAAAAAAGAAGAAGGCCATGGTCCATGCCAGTCAGACTGGGAGGCAGAAGCAAGTCGCAAAACTCAAAGAGAGAGAGAGAGAGAGGAGGCGGGGTTGAAGTACCAGAGCAGGGGTGGAGGGCCCTGCTGTCTGGCACCATTAAAAAAAGTTGTCAGTTAAGATAAGAACCTTCGCTTAAAAGGCTAAGTGGAGTCCAGTCCAGCTGTAGCAGGGCATACTATTCAGTACACAGCCATGGATTACTGCAAAGGAAGGGCAGAGAGACGCCATATTAGCCACAGATCATTGCCAGGTCGCCTCTAGCTGTTGCTCTGTCACTAGTCAAACACCAAAAGCCATACTGTGCCTCATGGCCCCGACAGTGGAAGGCTCTGTACCTCAGAGGGCTGCCAAAAGCCATAATCAGATGGGACCCATTATAAAACTTAAGACTAGGGTATTTTGAAAATATCAAGTCCTTAGACCAAAGTGAATGTCAAGCAACAGCACCTCTTTTCTCCCCTCCAGCTAAGGATCTCTCCTCTTGTAAGTGGCATGTGTGCAAATGCAGATTCAACCCATCGTTACAATCATTGGGTAGACTAGAATACCCATCCAGGCAAGCCCCAAGCCTAGATTCTTTGACCAGCTCACCAGTATACAAACTGGGATTATTAGTCTTGCTATTCCATCTCACTGGGATGGCAAGAAATGACCAATGACATGCTAAAACCCCCAAAGAGAATTCTATAAGTCTATCATTCAAGACTCTAGGCTGGTAATAACATTCCGCTTTATTTTCCCTTCTGTATCTGTGGCGTACCCAGAATCAGAGAGAGGGGAAATATGCACTGTCTTCCCCAGAAAATTGTGTTTTATAGGAAGGGCTTGGTGCAAATAAGTGTGTGGCTGACTTTTAACACAGCTTGTCTAAGGTGACTTTGAGCGAATGGGATCGGGGAAGGGCTGGGCTAAGATGGTACAAGAAATAGGTATCACTGACGGTTCTTTTGAAGCCTATGAGAAGGGGCTATGGCTCCTGGGATTAGAGGAATGGGAGGACAATCCCATTGACTAGGATGCAGGAGTGTAAGGGGACAGCTCTGAGCCCTGGCTGGTGCTTACCCAGCCAGCGTAGATGGAAATACCTCAAGGAAACAAGTATCAGTCACCTTCAGCGGGGAAGCTGGCACAGGAAAAGTAGGAAATGGCAACCCCTGAACATGTAACAGTCTGGCAGGGATGGGGAAGTGGGGGCACAGATGACTGGGGTCCTAGGTGAGGGACTGAGGTATGGAATGTGTCTCCAAGCTATGTCATGGCTGGCTTCTTGGCCAGAGGCCAGACATCATCATTTGACTCTCAGGCTTCTATAAACACTCGCAGGAAGACAGGGGAGGGCATGGGTTGTATGCCCCCTAAACATGGTAAGGGGGAAATAAAGAGAGGGAGGCCCAGCTCTGGTGCACAGGAAAGGGTGCGTCTACAGGAAGCCCAAACTGAAAAATGAAAAGAGAAGGGGGGGTTAATGAGTGAATGGATGAATGTATCCCTAAAAAAAGTCAGAAGGAAATTAAGTCATGACTAATAGATAAAGTAGAATAGCTATGTTAGATGGTCTTAAAAGTCGTGTTCACTGGCTCCTGGGAACATGCTTTCTCATATGAATGGCAGCAGTAATGGCATTAAAAAGCAAAATAAAGATCAAAACCCCACGCAAATAATTTTAAAAGTCTGTTCTTGACATACAATCCCACACACACACACACACACACCAACTGATCTAGAACTGCTTTCATAGTCTAGTACACAGACGCTTGCCAAGAAAAGACAACCTACTTGGGCTTGAAATTGGCTGCTCCAGCTGTTTACTGTCTCTCACTTCTAAGTCCTGGCTTTAATGATAGTTTCCCAGGGTTCATTTTAAGGGTGGCCACTAACAAAGTTGTACTCAGGGAACTCTGAATGAAAATGTGTCAATCAGTGGGCAATGAAATCTGAATTAGCCAAAATGGAATTCACCAGGCTACATCTTTCCTGCTCTCATTGAAAATGGTGGAACAAAGGAACTCCGTATGAACTGAGCTCCTACTATGTCTCAGACACTTGGCTAGGCACTTGGGCTATGGTAATGACTATATTCTAGGAATTTAGTCTTCCCAAACAGAAAGCTGCTCTTTGATGCTGGTGCTCCAGCAGAGGCTCCAGGGCTTGGTTTTAAAGCAGGCAGTAAATGATTTCTGTGTTCCTTTAGGACGCATTTGTTTGGCTCAGTTTCCTGGGCTTTCTGTTTCTGAGGCCTGGATGGACTTCCTTGCCAGGATTTGCTTGAAAGGAGGATGCTTTTGCCAGCTGCCTCAAGTCTCTAGTGCAGTGGTTGCAGCCACTGATTTGATGGCTGACAGCAGGCTCGCCATACAAACCACTGCATGGCTGGGCCAGAGGACGTCTTCTCAATACTTCAGAAGCCAGCCCAAACAAACCAAAAGTAAGAAAGGCATTTTATGAGACCACTGGGGTACTTTCAACACCAACTAGACATTTTATGTTAGCAAATTATTATTAATCTTGTAGGTGTGATCATGATGGCTGTGTTTGTTTTAAAGCATCATTATCACCTAGAAATATATACTTTGTATTTTACACATAAAACGATACAGCTTTTGCCTTACAATAACCCAACATTTGTGGGTAATTGAGGAAGCAGGATTAGCTGTATGTCAATGATTCTTTGATGACCAGGCTCCGGGAATATGAGGCTGAATTGTACTATGACCTCTTCTCTTCCCTACATTTGAAAGTTTCCATGTTAGAGTTTTAAAAAGAAATCTAAGTGTGCTGTTAAAAATATCTCTATTCAATTTCCCCCTACGACCTGATTTTGGTAGAGTACACAAAAGCTATGTGATAGCATGGAGTGTTCTGTTTACTCCTGTAGACACAACCACCAGCCCTCAGGCATTCTAAGAAATGCCTGCTAAATCCTTAGCAGAGGTTTTCATGAAGCTTGTACTTACAGAATATATATATATATTGTGTGTGTGTGTGTGTGTGTGTGTGTGTGTGTGTGTGTGTGTGTGTGTGATGTATCTGCAGGTGCCCACAAAGGACAGAAGAGGTTGTCAGATCCCCTGGAGCTAGAGTTACAGGCAGTTGTGGGCTGCCTAATGTGTGGGTGATGTGAGCCAAACTCAGCCGTGTTCTTAACCACCTGAGCCATCTCTCCAGACCCAGAATTAAATCTTTAAAAAAATTAATGTATTAGCACTGTTTGTGGGCACACATGCCATGGTGTAGTGTGATCAGAGGAGAACTTTTGGAGTTGGTTTCTTCTTCCACCTTTACATGGGTTCTAGGGATGGAACTCGGACTGCTGGGCTTAAATGGCTTTCTGTGAAAGGCAGATGCTGTCACTGAAGCTGCTGAGCCCCTCACTAGCCCTTACAGAACCAAATGGAATGATTTCCCTAGAGTAGCTAAGTCTCTTCACTGTCTCCCACTGAAATAGGAGAACTTGAACCCCGCAGATAAGGAGCAGCTGGTAGAGGGAGACAGAAGCAATTTCCTAAATCTAGGGTGTGTGTGTGTGTGTGTGTGTGTGTGTGTGTGTGTGTGTGTGTGTGTAGGGGGGTCAATAGTGACTGTGACGTTGCAGGCAGGGACTGTGAACCCAGCAGTTTCCTGCATCATCACAATCCATTTTGCTTATGGCTCTATGGGAACAAAAAATGTCTGAACTGAAACTTTACTCCTTGGTCTTCTTATGCTACACAGCTGCTGTAGCAGCAAAGGTCTGCAAATGCCATCACACACATACCTCCAATCAGGCAGGCAGTCATCCCACATGTAGCATGCCCACATCAAACCATGACAGATTACATCTTCATACTGTAAGTCTTGGGAGGAAACTAGCAGGTCCAATGAAGCCATTTTTTTCATGGTTAACTCTATGTATCACAAGTGTGGGGTTTGGGGAGGTATGTTCTAGAAGCCACTGCCAGGTCTATTTAGAGTTAATAAAGCTTACCAGGACCCTGGGTCTCATGCAGCATGCAGCAAACAGCAGAGTTAACTGTAAAACAGTAAGAGCTGATGAAGATGGAGTGAGCATGAGGAGAAATCCAATACTATGAACTGATACAAATAATGAAGTGTTAGCGGTCAAAGAGATTAGGCGAGACAGGGAAGGGAACAGGGAAGGGTGGCTTGGTAGACACCCCTGGAACACTGGTACTCTTTCATAGACTCTTTAGGGGCATCCAGAGGAAATTCTAAAGCTGGGACTTGATCAGATCCAACCACAATCTGTCTAAAAGAAACATTGCTACCACAGTTTCTACCCTCTTCCAAACCATCACCAGCAAAAGCACCATGGGAGCAGAGTAGCGTAAGTTTAGTGACATGTCTTCTAGAAGTTAACCAATTGCTCACAGAGACGCATAAGGAGCCCAGACCTGGGACCACTCACACACAGTAGGGTACAGATGGGGAGAGGCTGGCTCTGATTGCTAGTGTAAGGTGCCACATTTCAGCAAGGTTTTCACCCATCAAAGAACTGGAAAAGGGCACTGTCACCAATCCCAGATATTTCTGGAGAGTGGGGAAAGTTATATCCCTATCCAGTCTTCTGCATGAGATGGGAGGAAGTCAGCCAGTTTTGGGGGGAACATCTGGTCTGGGAAGAGTTTTCACTGAGCATCTTAAAGGGACTGTATACAGCAGTGGTTCTCAACCTTTGGGTCCCCAATCCCCTTGACAGTTAAATGACCCTTTCACAGGGGTCACCTAAGACCATCATTGGAAAATGCAAAATTACAGTCATGAAGAGGTAATGAAAATAATTGTATGGTTGGGGGTCAGCACAACATGTGGAACTGTATTTAAAGGTCTCAGCATTAGGAAGGTTGAGAACCACTGCTCTATAGCATCAATGCCACCTAAACAAACCAGATGAAGACAAATTCTTTTATTTTATTTACTTTTGGTTTTTTGAGACAGGGTTTCTCTGTGTAATAGTCATGGTTGTCCTGACATTTGCTCTGTAAGTTAGTGCTGGGATCAAAGTCATGCACCACCACCACCCAGTGCAAAATAAATTTTAAAAAGGAAAATAGGAATCATTTCCTGCTAGTATAACTAATATGCCATGACTGATAAGTTAATAGATGGTGCATCCAAAGAGGTTTTCCATCTGCCTAGTTGAACCTTACTACCAAAAAAAAATCAGTGAATTTGATATGTAGTTTTAAGATTCTATTGTGGGGGTGGAGGTGGGGCGTGACAGGCAGATCTCTATGAGTTCGAGGCCAGGGTACTACAGATCGAGTTCCAGGATAGCCAGGTCTACACAGAGAAACCCTGTCTCAAAAAACAAACAACAACAACAAAAACCCCCAAAGATTCTATTCTGGAAAAGAAAAATCTCTGGACCAAGTTGGTGAAAATATTCAAATGTCATATTATGTAATCAAATTGGATAACAAGATCACAAAACTTAGTACCTTGACGTATAAAATAGTTTACATTCATGGTGTGATTCCTACGTGATAAGCCAGGTACAGAGGCAAAAAGATACTTCTTCCTTCTGGACCGTATCCAGTGGCTGACTCAAATCAGTGGCCCAAAATAGAAGGTCATGAGCATGGTCATCTCTAGAATCTTAAGGATCCTTTAGTAAAGAAACTGTTAAATACTCCATCTTGGAATTCCCTGAGTCCCACTGCACAAACAGCCATAGAGTAAAGGGAATCTCTGGATGTGTTCTTCTTTTGTTTTGTTTTGTTTTGTTTTTTGAGACAGGGTTTCTCTGTGTAGCTTTGCGCCTTTCCCGGAACTCACTCTGTAGACCAGGCTGGCCTTGAACTCACAGAGATCCACCTGCCTCTGCCTCCCTAGTGCTGGGATTAAAGGCGTGCACCACCACCGCCCGGCTTGGATGTGTTCTTGCCAGAAACATTTTCTTCTTCTCTGGCTCTGAAATGAGGAATGGGTAATTTCTGCAAGCAGAGACTGGGGAAGGGTCAGGACTATTAACTCACCCAACACTTGGAGAAACCAGATGGTTTCTGAATCCTTCCCCAAGCTTGAAAATGGCCCATGCACAGGACATTGGCATCTGAAGGCTCTCCACTAAGTTCTTAGTGTCCCAGGCTGGGTATAACTAAGCAGCCAGCAGGAAGAGGTACGGCCAAGGGATGGGGGATGGGAAGCAGGGTGCAGCCTTCAGTGGCAGCATTCACCTTTCACAGGCTGCAGCTATTGGCAACTGAGGCAGAGGAAGGCTTAGATTGTAGGGCCCTCCCCTCAGATGTGGGACAAGCAAGCAGACCTGTATGCTGCAGAGTACTGAAAGTCTAGTGGTTCTCCCCCTTCCTAATGCTGGGACCCTTTAAAACAGTTCCTCATGGTGTGCTGACCCCCAACCATACAATTATTTTCGTCGCTGCTTCATAACTGTAGTTTTGCTACTGTTATGAACCGTAATGTAAATGTCTGATTTCCAATGGTCTTAGGCGACCGCTGTGAAAGGGTGGCCCAACCTCCAAGAGGGGTCCCGACCCACAGGTGGAGAACTACTGCTCTAGGGTCTAGGGAAGTGCATTTAGCCTCTGCTAAAAGATCCTGGTCTAGCCATCCTTTCGTTCCTCTCCGGATCCTCCTACCTCTCTCACAGTTTGTTTCCTACTCTCTAGACCCTCTTCCCTTTACCACCCGCCATGAGTTGGCAGAGCCTTTCCAGATGGGCCAAATGGCAAAGCTGTACTTCTGGGAACGCTCTCCTCCTCCTCCTCCTCCTCCTCCTCCTCCTCCTCCTCCTCCTC